AGGCCACGTGTCCGTCATCACCAAAGTTGCCTCGGCTCGGGAACTTGGGGACGATTGGGGAAGGGCAGCTATGAGCACCCCCTCTCGCCCGATCCGAAGATCGGCCTCTACTAACCTTGATATCCAGTTTTGAAAACGTTATGTGTTCTTATTCCGGTTATTAGCCTAGAATTACTATGTTATGCGCACAGCAAATAAGTATAGACCAAATCGCCTAAATTGGAACAAAACATTTTATGTTTGTTTTGAAAATGGTTTGCTACTCGCAAGTAGGCTAAAATCCAAATTTTGCCACCCCCAAGTGGGCTTTAGAAAAGATAGTTTTGCCACTATCTAGTGGGCTTAAAACTCACAGTTTTAGTGCATTATTCCAATTTAGGTAATTCAACCTCCATCCACAGGCATTCAAGCAATTATATCACATAAGCAGCTAGCCTCATGGTTATCATGCTGTTATGGCAACACTCACACGCATGCGGTGTGCTAAAGCATAAATGCTTACCGAGTACTCCAACCCAAAACAAAAACTAGTTAGTAATCATATGCATGATCCTAGTTTAAGATGGCTAATGCAACATATGCGAAATGCAACTAGAAATGGGCTCGGCTATTCTAAACATGGCATGTGAAATACTACAACTAACACGTATTTAATTTGGAATTGAAATACAATGCAGTTAGCATGATGTACCAAGCCCGGTGCATGCAAAACAGATGAATGAATGCAAACATGCTATCATACTGTATGCTAATTGAAACAGGCCCTAATCTGACCATCATAAGCAGGTAAATAAAAGGGAGAAAGGCGTGGGGTTGGAAGACATACATCACACGCACACACACTTATTACAATTGTGCCCTCACTCGGAGAGTCCGAATAAATAATATAGATTTAACTAATTAACTAGCCGACTAACTAATTAATTAATTACAAAACTTCTAATTAATCAACAAATTAATTACAGAAACAGTCTAAATATGAAACTAAAGAGACCGCCACAGCTCTGCCTCGGAATGCGTGGATGATGCATGCTTGACTCGCCTTGCTCGGAAACCCGTGCCATGCCACTGTTGCCTCTGTTTACACTGCTCTGCTGCTTTGAAAATTGTGCAACTCCCAAGGTGCACTCTCTGGACACTGGGGAGCTTACCGACCAAGTGGGATCACCACCGGCCATGTCCGGATGGTTATCGGCCATTTTTAAATCCATCGGCCAACAATGAATGGCCGGTCGGCCGTATAGGTGGCCGGCTGACCAAAGCTTCCTGCAGAACCTGTTTTTGACAACAGCAGAGGGCAAACAGTGCATGGCAAGGAAATTCAAAGCAATGTATGCATGGCCACTCTCCCTATCATGCAATGGACTCAAAGGAGCATAGCCCTCGACCCTTGGGCCATCAATCACGCATTTCAATGCATGATGGCCCAAAAGCCAAGTGTGAAACTTCGATATCAAATGAAATGCAAGCACAAAACACATCAAAGGGCCCCAACCCCTATCATGGTTGATCAAGAGGCAAGGGATGCATGCTCAATGAAATGCAACTTAGGCATGGAGGCTAAGTATGCAACATGAACATGCAAATGAGCAATGTATACTACGCACGCAACCTAAACATGTAAGCAAACATGGCATGTAACAACATGCGATGATGGACTTAAACTAACATGGATAGCTCGCAAGCATGCCAAAATCAGTGGCCATGTGATGAAAATGAGGCAACCAAGATGCATGCAAACATGCACAATGCAATGGCCCCGAGTCTAAGGCTCAAAACACAACTCCACAAAGGCATTGAAAGGATGAAATATGGCATACAATGGCATATGTTCCAGCACTGAAGTATGATGCTAAACAGCCCCGAAACATGGAAAAATGGCACCCGATGCATGAGATGAACCCCGAAACTCGAAACTAGGCACATGTATTGACTTATAGCTATACAAAGCATGCATTATTTGATCATGAAGTCTAAAGAAAGAGCCAAGCCAGTCCCAAAACATGAACATTTCTAGTTCAAAGCATGGCCAAAAGATGCTAGCATGGTGGACTAAAATAGCATGCAAGATTGGCTAGCAAACATGAGTTATATGGCAGGTATAGGATGCACATGGAATCTTACCAAACCAGAAAAAATCAGTGAATAAAACATGTGAAAATATGCCCAAATAACCATAGAGATGCAACCAATACATGCAAAACTGATGAGCCCCTTTAGAGCGCCATGCAATGGATTATTTAAGCACATACAAGGTGGACACTTAGCATGGTATAAACAACTATGAAAATAAAATATGGTAGTCTTAGAACTCACCAAATTGACCCTGGAAAGTGACTTCAAAGCATGCAAAATAGGGTCCCTTTGGAAGGCCAAAAAGACCATCAAATAAGGCAAGGAGAGAGGGTCACCCCCCTCTAATTTTGGCCTTCAGAAACACATCAAGGCCACTGAAAATCCACTGGATTTTAGTGGCTAAGAGGCCAAAACAAGGCCAATGCAAATGCTCACATGTATGGCCCTAATCATGAAGAGATGAAACATGCATAGGGGGGAGATGACCCCAAACAGAGAAGGCACCTTAAACAAACTTGAAGAAAATGTCAAAACAAGACTTTTTTCAGTTTATAGAAAACCTCGAAAATATTCAAAAGTAGGGCTAAAATATCATGCAAAAATGGCCCTAAAAGAGATATTGAAGACAAGGGACAGCAGATGGTCTCAAACAGAAAAGAGCCCTTCAACAAAGTTGAAGAGGGGCTCAAAAAAAGACACTTTAAAGTTTATATCAAGTCCATAACTGTAGACACCCCATTTTTGACCGTCCTCAAGACTTGGACGTCACCGTTTGAACACTCGGTGATCATCCATGTTTGTGTTCGTTTGGAGTTCCCGGAGGCCTCGGCTCGCGCGCCTTGCCTCAGGATCCCCGAACTCGGCTGTTTAGTGTCTGGTTTTGCACCAAACACTTTTGTTTTGCCTTAGAGGGGCAGGGAATGCCTTGTGAGACATCCCCATACACCACCGGCAGTGGCTGGAGGCCACCGGCTGGTCTTTTTCTTCCATCGGCAATTTTGTTTGCCGGTCGGCACACTGTATTGCCGGTCGGCATAATATGTTGCCGGTCGGCACTGTTTTTTGCCGGAATAGCTTTTTTGGGCAGCCGACCACTGTTCCTCCACTTTTTGGAGATATTTTGTGCCAGCTGTGATAGCTGGCACCAACTCCTTTCCCCTCCATACACGTGTATGGAGGGATTTCCCTCTAGCCAAGCTTGTTGAATAAGCTTTGCAAGAGGGATCCTTATAAGAGAGAGGCTTTCCTCTTGGTTCTAGGTTAGAAAAACAGAAGCAAAAACCAGCCTTTGAGATATAGATACATATTATATCTATACCTCTCTCCCTCTCCCTTCTTGTGTGTGTTTCTTGGCCCAAAAGGTGTGTTTTACCTTACATTTCAAGCCTCCACACCTAGATCAACCAGAGGCGTCTGGGAAAGATAATGAAGCAGAGAAACAAAAGGAGAAGCAAC